GACTGTTGAAATGGCTTTTCCCTGCTTGCTCTGATGTGCTCCCTCCCTCCCTACTGCTGCTGGCCCTTTCTTACTCTCTTCTGACTTAGCCCTTTAACACGCTCGCTGTCTGACTCTGGGTATTGATGGGCAGTCGTTTGTTGTGCCATGAAGTATCACAGCAGTTTGTAACACTTAAAATGAAGCTTTGCGGGGGTGTTACAAGCATCCCACCCCTTCGCTGGAGGGGGAAGTTGCTTCAAAGGCGAACCCTCCAGGTTCTCCAAAGCTGATGACAGCAAAGATGAAGCAAACCAGGACTGTGCAGAGCTGCAGGTGTACAGGCTTTGCTAATCGGGGGCACAGCCACTGTGAGCAACAGGGCTTCCAGGTCTGCTGAGCATGGCAGGGCTCTGTGGGAGCTCACCCCTGGGCAGGGGCTCAGGGAGCAAGCCAGCTGCACCCCCATCCCCCCCTTGCAAGCAGCTGTCCTTAAGCAACAAGCATTAAAAGACCAACTAGAACATGAAACTGGAACAAGAAATGTCCGCAGACAGGAGCGCATGACTTGTGGTTGGAGCAGACTGTGGGTTCTTACCCCCGTACTTGGACTAGCCATGAGCTCCGCTCTTTACCCCATGTTGCTCAGTATGCTGCCTTCTGTATCCATATTCCAGTGAGGCAGGCATGCCACACTACAAATGACACCCTACACCATCCCTGAATGCCACTCCAGTCTCCTTCCCCTCCCATTTGCTGCTCTGCTTTCTGCTCCCTGCCAGATCTGCTGCTCTCCTTTCTGCTCCCTGCTGTGCTGCCAACCCTCTCCCTTAGGTGAATGCAATACGCTGGGGCTGCTTGTGGCATTTGTGCTGCAGGTCAGCCACCCTTGCTCTATTCAACCACCCTTAGCCTGTCTCAGCAGCATCCCTTTCCTCTCCCCATCCCTTTCCTTTGGATTGACATTCCTTTCTACCAAAACCTTTTCTTTTTGCAGGTCCAGTCATAGCATCTGATGCACTAGGCTGCTGCCTAGGAAAGCTTATGCCTCTCTGAACCAGTTAGTCTCTAATGTGTCCCGTCCACCCCCCCGCCCCCGGCCCTGGCTTGTTTAGCACTTTCAGCATCTTGGTAGTGCCCAAGCTGTTGGAGTGGCTGCGCACTCGCTTGCCGTAGCATTACCTATGCCCCCACAGTGCTACACATGCAGCCTCTCAGGGTTGTGCCTTGTCATAGCATCAACTTTCCTCTTTACTGGATCTGCAGGTGCTGCAGGCCCGCGACTGTTCACAATACACCAGATCGATGCCAGCACCAACAACTTGCCGAAGGCTCATACCTGGTAAGGTCATGTGACTTTATCCCATTTTCTGGGAAAAATGCAGCACTTAGATAAAGGATAGGCCGGTGCATTTCCATTGCTGTTTGCCCCATCTCACCTGCCTTTTCTTTGGCTTTGTTCGTGTACGTTGGCCACCCTAAGGTAAGCCAGGAATACAGCATAAAAGTTGCATGTGTGTTACCAAAGCTTTTTGAGTCTGCTAAACACGTGGCTGTAGTGCAGACAAACCCTGACCTGCACAACCTTTGAATTTCTGGGTGCAGCTGAAAACGGTTAAAGTTGCTTTGCTTTCTGTTCACAGCTTTAATCGAATAGACATTCCTCCCTACGAAAGCTATGACAAGCTGTATGAGAAGCTGCTAACCGCCATTGAAGAAACATGTGGGTTTGCTGTGGAATGACCCTTCACAGACTTACCTAGGACTCTATTTATACTCCTGTCATCCGGAAAGCCCTCCCCCCTCAGCCAAGCCTCAAGAAATGCTTGAAATACAGGAAACCTTTCCCTTTTCTACGCTAGGACACTGGGAGGGAAAGGACAGTTTTGGAGTTCTTTTTTTTTTTTTTCCCCAAGAAAATGGGTCCTGTGGCTTTTGTCATAGAACCATTCAGCTGCTATTAAAAACTAATACCTTGAACACCTAGAATGCTGACTTTTCCTACATTTCAACAGTTAAGCAGTATTCTACACTTAAAGACTACTACTATTTTTGTAAAAGGTAATCTATTCTATTTGCCTACCTGATTTCTATTCTCACAGATACCAAGACACCACGTTGGCAGTCGGTACAAGTCACTTTCAGCCTGGTTAAAAGTATGATGCTGAACAGCGCCTATACCTGCTATTTTTTAAAAGAAAAATATTTTGGATTATTCTAACTTTGCATAAAATTGGCTACAAGAATCATTAATCTTTTTAATTAAAGCCACCTACAGGTTAACTGCGTTTCTTATAGTGAAACATTATATTCTGCATTGTAAGTTCAACTTAAATGTTACCCGAATGGGGCTTTTTATATTTTTCAAGCATGGATTACAGATCTGAAGTTTGGGGTCCTGTTTATATCAGTTGTCAGATTCCTTAAGCAAATTTCCTAGTCTCCGTGACTGATACTGTATTTAGTACAGGACATTGTGTTAAATGTGGATTAGCCCCTTTTTTAAAGGGAGTTCGTCATTTCAATTTTTTTAAACAAGCATTTTTGTAACAAGTCTCTTGTTGAGAGTGTTTTTGGTTTGCTTTCAACTGAAAATGGAAACACTGCAGTTTTCAAATTCCATAAAGCATGCTGCTGATGAGGTGATGTTGATAGCCACTTGCCTGGTCATCGGTTCATGTTTCAGAATCGTCCGTATCCGCCCAGCCATCCAAAGTTTATGTTCACATGCAACCAATTCGCAGTGCGTATTTGTTGTCTTTAAAGACTTATCAGGTAAACCATTTTTCATCTTTGTTTAGCTCTCATGATGTCAGTTTGCTTAAATTACAGCTAAGGAAAAGCAGTCAGCTCAGATAGTTTCATAGTAAATGCTGAACACGTGTGCGATATGCTTTGACAGTGAGGTCGTTCAAGCACGGTGTCATTGGTTGTAGGGCTGAAAGTATATATATGCAAGCGTTAAAGCATGCGTTGGTCTGTTCAAATGGGAACATAATGCACTACCGGTGGAGGGAACTGTATTTTGAAATGCGGTTGGGAATTCTGAGCTGTTCAGCTGAGCACGTTCTGTTCATGGGGTGTAGCTAAGTTCAGCTACTCATGGCACAATGGTTTTTTAGCATTCTCCTGAGTAAGTGCGTGGTGGTACCTAAGTACCTGACCTGTCTCTGCCTGCTAAGCAGGGGGACAGTGACACTTGGCAGAGGTGATTTTCAATTTTGTTCAGTCAGTATTGTGATTGTTTCTTTAAACCTGGACCCCAAAATCAGCACTGTGTTTACACTGCTGCTGAGAAACAATGAAGAGTGTTGAAATAAAATAAAAAAACAAAACAGGATGTAAACCATTTCCTTTGTAGCCTGCATTTTACAGCGAACTAGCTGATGGGTCTTACCCATTGCTGTGTATTTTGGGAACCTTTCAACATACAAATTTATTTCTGCCAAATCTGACTGCCCTAGCAAGTAAGTTAGAACAGGCACTATGTATTGGAATAAAAGGCAATAGTTCATTTGTGGAGCTGTGGGGAGAATTTGGTAGCTCACATCCACATACTCCCTCAATTTCTCCAGCATGGCTGTTGCTCTGAACTTGCTTACCAACCTGAGCTGGCTGGTGAAGAGATGAGGCTGCTCAGGGATCTGCACCTGAAGCCAAAAGATCTGCTTGGGAGTAAGTCTTGGACGCTCTCCCTCATTTGCTAAGTTCTGCTTGGGCTCATACAGATGGGGTGGTAATGCTGCCATTAAAGCTACCCAAAAACACCACTCAAGCTGAATTCCTTTGGTTATTTCACCGACTGGAAACCAGAGTGCCCAGGCCATGGTGCGTGTGGGGCAGAACTGTCTGACT